TATTTTCTTCCATCGTTGGAGCAGCTACTCGACCAAGTGTCCGGCGTCTTTTCCCTCTTGCCCGATTCCACTGTTGCGATTGAGGTCATTCCTCTCCTCTACCCCTCTCCCCTCTACCAGCATCTCGACGCGACTTTCATTTTAGTTCTTCCTTACCTTTTTCTCCTCTCCTCCCCAAGCCACCTTTCTTTTCCTTTTTCATTCCTTCCCTATTCGGCTCCTCTCCGTCTCAATCTCTAAGCTCTTTCCTCTTTTTCTTAGGCTTTGTTTTTATTACTTTAAAATGTCGATACATACCAACACACCCTGCCAGAATCGATTGTTACGGGGCTTGGGGTCATTGACGCGCGTCTCGAGCCCTCGGTGAGGCGAAATTTAAGGGCTGAGAGGAGTTGGGAGGGTTACGAAGAAAAAAGTGCCGAGCAGCCGGCAATGGAGGACAGAAAATGACTTCACTACGAGTTGCAGACTTTCCTCGCTCCTCCTTCACATTTCAAAATGCTCTCGTGCATCTACCCTCAGGAACTTCCCAAGAGACAAGGGCAAATCCTTCGCTTCATAGGGCTGGCAGCAGAAGGGATCCGAAAAATTTAGCTACTGTCCTACAATTCCTGCAAGTAAGTGATGTTCTCACGGGATTCGTAATCGAAAAACTCCCCAGCATTATTCACTGCAAAATGATCAAGAATTTTTCGAAGGTGTTGCGAAGTGTGATGGCAATACTCTAAGGAGGACGAAGCCGATTAAGGCTTGGGGAAAGGAGCGTGAAAGGATATCGCTGGGTGTGTCCCAATGTAGGAACTAACCGTTCGAAAACTCACGGATTGATTAAAACACACTTGTGGATCCACAAGTGCGCTTACAAGTGAAAAATTGAGATAAAGATTATCAGCGAATTGAGAATAAATCGTAAATTTACTTTGTCAATAACTCGATGGAATAATTTATCACGATGAGTGATATGCATAGTATTGAGATGCCTTTCAGGAGATACTATGTGAAGGAGAATTCCATGTCATATACAGATGCACTCATCCAATGCAGACAAGTGCATCCTCTTGCATTAGTGTCGGCTCCTCATCCTTCCTTGGTTCTTAAATTCTCAAGGATCCCTTTTGAAAAAAGGCATGTAACGTTCTTTGTCAGCTTCTTTTCGGCGTATAGCTAAGCTATGCATATCATACTACGTATACAATTTTAATAAAATAATGATATCAAATAATGATGTCAAATGATAACACCAAATACGTGTGAGCCGAGGCGCGTGGAGCGCGCCATATTCGCTATTACCTCAAAAATCCTGTTGGTTGGCAATCTTTCTCTCATTCTGAAACCCTAAAACTCAATCTTCCAAAATAAAGCCATCCGTTTGAGGGGCAGCAAGAGAGATGGGATTCAACCACTGCATCAAAGAAACAAGCCTTTAATTTACACGAGACGTGGATAAGTTTATGTGCCAAAAGCTAAAGAAACCTTCTGACTTGGCTGAACGAACGACCAGAGAAGAGGAGAGAGACAGAAAAGTGTAGAAAAAGGAAGCGGTTGATCCTGTCTCATGATGACTCGGCGCCCTGTTCCTGATTCCTAGCGTTGAATGAAGCGAAACGAGATGAAAGCACGAGATTTTGTATAGGCGTTAAAATTGAGCGGGATTCGAAAAGTCCGAGCTAATTTTCACCGTGACCTTCTTCGCTTTGAAAATGTACACCTACGGGATGTGTTGAACATGCATCATGATAAAAGCCACTGTGATACGGGGATATGAAAGGAATGAAGTGGAGGAAGAGAGAGACAGGGTATAGAACAGTGTGTATGAAGAGCCACCACAAACTTGCACGCGAAGGTCAAAGGAAATGACCCAGCAGGATCGACTAACACCTGCATGGAAATCGAGGATACGGAACGGTGCGCATCTGCAAGGATTTTATGCAGTTCAAGAGGTATAAGACATGATCAAGAGAGTGCATGAATCAGTTGTATATCGGGGAAATCTCGTATGTTCATATAAAGTCATATGAGACCATTAAGAAGCTTTCATGCGCGTTGGATTAATTACACATAAATTCAATTCAGGGGCATTCTCTTTTTTTGTTGCTTCCGAATGGAAACATTGTAATTGTCCAATACTGGCCAAAAAAAATTAATTTTGCTTGGAAACGATGTAGAATGGTCTGAAATATAAAAATACAAAATTTTTGAAAAATGTCTGTTAAGAAATTGTGGGGGAACCCTTTCATCCGCGCAAAAATCGATCTTAACTTCAAATTCAGACGAGATTGTCATCTTATCACTACAACGGATGATATTGGAAGAAACGAGCTTAATTGGAAACTGAAAAATACCATTCGAACAGTTGCCAATGGATTGATTAATTCGAGTGTCTTCATGGGGGTTCTCCGTTACCTGTGCAGAATTTGAGAGAAATTTCCGTTTTAGTTCAGGTATTAATCATCGTTCTACTTTTACGAAGATTTCTGATGTGGCCTCCGGCATCCAGCCTCTCTTATTTGTCTTTTTTAAATATTGAGTAGCGTGGAATTAGCACCTGGCACGAGTCGATGAAAAATTGAACCGTCCTTTTACCGGGTGTACACTTAGTAAAGAAATCGGCGGGAGTTCGTTGTTATGGACATTAGTCAGGTAGAAATAGGAAAATTGCGAAAATGAGTGAAAAGTTGATTTTTGGTCGACCAGCTGGCCTTCTGCCTGGGTAGACCCAAATCGTCCCAAGTAATTGTCAAAGCGCTGAAGTCACCACGGGGTGGCCTAATTGACCTCCCTCTTCGTGGCTCTCTTATTCAAAATAAAAATTCACCAATAAACTGTGGATTTTGCCTGAATGAGCCTGCAATAATATTTGAAGAAAGCAGAGAATAGACAAGCAATCGGTGAAAGAAAAACTCGAAATTCTAAAAGCCCACCGAAACTTGAATGGAGCCGGCACAACTTGTATCAAGTTATTTTATCCCCTGTGAATGTATCGACAAATTTATCGGCGATTCGATCTTCAAACTCCTTTATATCATCAATAAAATAATCAAGCAGATATTTCGCTTTACATTTAAATTGATTTGCAAAAGTTGGATAGATACTGTAAGAAGTTTGTAGAGCTGAGTAAACCAGAAATTTTAATGAGGCAATTGAAATTCGTGATCACGCCACGTATGCTTTGAAGCCGAGGCCTCTTACGTATACCGATTTACATTCCAAGGTTGGGGTATCGAAAATTGTATCAAAGCTCAAGGTGTTGAGAGAGAAAAATGAAGTGGGGAAAAATTGATAACACCTGGTGGTTCTCTAAAATGAACACGATACTCGGTGTATTTTTCGAATGAACAGTCAATTAGATGAGCTTTTATGGAGGATGTAAGTGCACGCAAGTCCCCATCCTCGAGTTCCTATGCCTCTCTTTACCACACAAATGGCACCTTAATCTTTATTGCCACACATCACGAATCGCGACAGTCACCTGTTTTATTCAAGCGGCTTTATGACAGCAGTAAAACCCAACGACGAAACTTATTGCTCCTTGAAATATAACCGTGGGGGTAGAGAGGAACGAGTCACTGCGATAATCCATTGCAACTAATGACAATAATTATCGTGAATGCAGACGTACAGGCGCATGTCCGTCGTGTAGGGATTGCAAAGCCCAGAGATACAAACACACCTGTCAGGATAATGAATAAAGTGTTATAAGCCCTAGCGAGTACTAATCATTCATTGGGACGCCAAATAAAAGAGGAAATGCTCTAGAGAGGAAATCTCAAAGGTAAATAATTTCAAATAAAAAAAAACTAATAAATTCAGCACTCAAGATTACTTCAATAGCACCTGATGATCCCTCAACGTTTCGCGAGTTGACAAGATCTGTGTAAAAAATAGAAGCCACTTGATAATTGAAGTGTATAATGATGCAAGGCTGGGCTCGTGCCTAATAAAATCGCGTGCACTCTTGGGTTATGTATGTGCTCCAAAAAGGGCACTTGGCGTGAAAAACGAGTTATATTTGCATGCACATTAAGAAAGCCTACAGAGTGAGTTGGAAAAAGTTGAGCTGTGAGAAGAAGTTCCCTTAATTCGTCGCCATAAATTTGGATACAAGGTAATAATTTTTTACCATCAGTTGCTGCCGTCTTGTTTTTTCTCCTAATTTATGAGGGGAAGATAAAATCACAACTGAATATTAGTAAAGCGAGGAGAATAGATGTTACGAAAAAAAAAAAAAAGGTAATTACTATCAACTGAACGCACTATATATTCATCACTCATTGAAATTTCTACCGAAACATCACAAATCGGGGCAAAATACCACTAAGCAGTCTTTGCCGCATATAATTAGCATCGGTTACTAACTCATGTCGAAATCCATGGAATATATATCGGATTGTTTGATAATCAATCAGAATCACATCGAATAATTAATAAATTATTCAAATATAAGAACAATGGGCAAACCGAGTTCATCTATATCAAGGTCTGACATCCGGTCTATTCTCAAACAAGTGTCTCTCCTCGGGCCCTGTAGTTTCTATCCTCATTACGCCGAATTAATCTTAGTTATGTGGAGATTTGTAAATAGGTAAAGCCGCGTGGGATATATCCAGTAATTGCTACCGGGAATATTCAATATTACGCAGTGAATGGGAAGTGAATTCAGCCATTCATGTTCTATCAATGTCAATATAGCTTGAGTGGTGATTGTGATATACTGAGCATTAAGAGTTCAAACTACATCCTCGATGTTTCCTCGCTATCGGAGACAGAATAATATACTGACAAAAGTTGGCCTAAATGTTGGACAATAGAAAGACGACAAGGGCTTAAAGGGGCATTCTCGAAATTTCAAGGAGTAGGCTGACATTTACAAGCTGCACCTGGATTTTTCTCAAGAATGCACGTCGATAAATCTTACGGTGATAAATGAATTTTTCGGTTTAGGACTCCATAAACTTGACACTGTATTGTTGGATGAAATGTAGGCGGATTATGATACTCACCTGATAACTTTCCGTCTGTTGTTTGGATGCAGTCGACGTGCCATTTCCGGATCGATTTGGGACAGTCGCCTATGCAATGCCTCATTCGTTTCAATTGGATCATCGAACTTCATTTTTTTGTGGCATGTGTATGTATTGTTCGCGCATTCCTCTTTATCCGGTGGTTCTTCAAACGATTGAGAAATAATTTTAGTCTTATTGTGATCATCAGCCTCGTTCTCACACTCCCTCTTCTTTCGATCGACGAAATGCCCATCATCATGTCTCCTCGTATTCCCAGACGCCTCTGGATCCTCAACGAGAATCTGCCACAGCAGTGACTCGATGTAATAGTTCGTGCCTCCCACGATGATTGGCATCTTCCGCCTCGACACTAAATCGTTCATCTAAATCGATTGAGGAAGACGCTCAAAGCAATATCAACAGTTTTGGGATAATGACAGAATAAACACTGAGATTTTTTCAACCCCTGAAATGGATTCCAATTTTTTTTTTTTTGGTTTTTTTGTTGTGTTGCGCGGTGTGGTACAAACAGGTACTCGTTTCATTTTTTACGAGATCGAAACATTCCATGATTTTTAAGGCCCCATTCCCATATATTTAATGAATTGGACCAATTCCATTATCTTTTATTCAATGATCGCGTGTAAGAGCTAGTTTGAAATGATTTATTAATGAGGGAAATAGGTAAATATCAATGGTGAGTAAAATGGTGCCGATATATAAGAAATTTCGGTGAAAAGGATACGATCGGCAGAGCTTTCTTCTTGTAATCAACGACACAGTAGTTGACCAGTGGATCAACAACATCGAGCATATGATGTGGTACCATTGCCTTCTCCTCTTGTGTTACTTTCGCCGTAATGATGTCCAACCCTTGGTACACCTAAGATCAAAAGAATGCGTTAAAATTCCAGTCGATAACGATCAAGTTTTTCTGACAATGTCACTGGGAACACCTAATTACGGAATCGTAATAACTAAATCAGTAGCAGCTATCACACCGATCAACCGGATGACGTGGGAAATCAATGAGTGTGTACGTCCCGCTGGGATCGTCAGGTTGAGAAAATTAGTGAGAAATAATCAGTGACTATTTCACTCATGATCGATGAACCGTATAATTAGAGATCGGGAGAGTTCTGAATTTTTCATATTTTACTATGCAAATTAATCATGGAGATAAATTACAAATCATGTCTTCGGCCCCTCCTCGAAACCTCTGATGGTTGAGAATATTACACGAAAATATCGGTGAAGGTGAACCTTCATTAAAATAACCGGAAGAGATTTTCTATCACTTCTTCATTGATCTTCTATGGTTTTTATTCGAAGATATTTATTAAAAAATCGTCGATACGAGAGCTTTTACGCATATTCAATATTGCTTTCGGAGAATTAAAGCAGACCCAAAAATGAGATCAAAGCATTATTTTCTACAAATTTTCCCACCAATCCTCCAATTCGCAAATCACTTAAGAGAACGGGTTTGTCAAAGGTGGAAACCGCACACCACAATTTGATATCTCCCTGCCATACTTTCCCACCTTTTCCCTTTATTTTTTCTTCTTTTTTCACTTCATCGATTTACCTTGGTCACTGCATGGTAACACTGGTACGATCAAGTGACTTCCACTTCGTCTCACTTCATTTGTCACGCGGTCAACAGCATCATCGATCCTCAACAATTTGTTCCAAACTGCTTGCCCTGGTGCCACCGCCACCATAGGCTGCAAAGAATTCGTGTTAATCCACACAACAGACTCATACTTTTAAATTTCTCTCGGATGGTTCAGATAATTCTGACGAGTGTAACAGTATATGTAATACTATTGAGCGGAAGTATCGAAGCACGCAAAAAGTGAATTATATTTGCTAGAATTATCCCAACCATCCGAGAGGTATTTAGCTTACGAGAGTCTGCTGTGTGGATTAACACAAATTCTTTACAACCGGACGTTTAAATGCAGAGAGCATTCAGCATTGTTATTTCGAATGAAAAAACAACGAACGAGCGAGAGATTATTTTGTCCACCGGAAAGAAAATGCCAAAAATACGGTAAACTTTTATTCGACAAGGCTCGTTTCATGTGCCTAAGGCTGCTAAAGCGAAAAGAGAATGTACTACAGAATAGCATACAAAATAATTCCTAATGATTCGTTTGAAAATTCCACGAGCATATTAGCAAACAACCCTAATTCCCCTAAGAGCCGGAAGTACGTTTCGCCACGCTATCTCGCAAGGAGGATCTTAAATAGACACAAGCCCATAGGCCACGCCCCATTAGTGAGATTTGAATAAAGATGTGTCAATTGAGAAAAAAATTAAATATTGGAGAGACTCTTGCGAGAGACCTGAAGGAATAGAAGAATAAACGGGGAAAAAATAGATGAACTCCATCGATTGTAACAGTTGAACCGATTTTTCTTTTCACCTCCAACATTCAACAGATGTATTAATTAGATAATACCTAGATCAGGATGCTACAGGTGGATTACGGTTTTTAAGCTTCGAAATCCAGCATGTGATACCCTACCACTTCCTGTCAATTATACATGCCCAGCATGTCCCCGTGGAGTCGTAAGTTAGTAAAGGAGAAACAACACAATGATTGAAAAATTTCAAACAAGATAATTTCGATGAAAGAAGGTTCTCGACGGATTCCTCGAAAATGGTGAAGGGATTCACAGACAAATGATATTAGTAAACGCGGCAAAGCATTACCTTTTACCTCGTTTCTCTCTCAGTGAAGTCTCAAGATGAGACCCTCGAGTGTTATAGACCGGTGCTAAGTAAATTAGCTCGTTCAGTTGCTCTTCGCAACTCAGAGTTTCACTTCTTAATTTCTATCCTCCCTCCTTGCTTGCTTCTTCGCTGCTCTTCACCTTTTTTCCTCAATCCTTTTTCAACTCGCAACTGTTAGCCAAGCAACTTAACTGTAATCAACTTTGAAAATAGCTCATCCCTCTCGCTCAATCAACGATGAAAATGAGGCGGAAGAAATATATGAGATTACCACTTTAGTGTGTTGAGTCAAAATGTACCCATACGATTTTATAGGACGTATCACAGATTTTACATCAATAAGAAGAAGCCTCTCTTTAACTTGTCAACTATCCAGCTTTGTCACACTGGTTGTTAACAGATATTACATATTAAGATTCGGTATGAGTCATTAAAAACACACAATTGGATATATTTCAGTATTTCAATTAACATTCTGGGTTATTTGAATAGTATATCATCTTCTTCGTGACAGCCATTTTATGAACCATAAAGGGTAACCTCATCTGCTCAAAGCATGACAGGCTTAGCAACAAAATACTGACTTCGGAAGTTCTAGCTCCTATATATTCCGATGCGACAACTTGAAAAATATTACCGAAAATCCATAAAAAAAACCATCTCCAGAGGGTACTCTGTTATACTCAGGGAAGTTCATGGTTATTCTTATAGGCATCACTATCTGCATTGCACTCTTCGGTATTTTTAAAATGCTAAGTAGCGCACGTATCTCATACCCCAATAGATGACGTCACCCTTTTATAACTCGTAAAAAAAACCGGTCGTTCCTTATTATTTCCTCAACTGCTATTAGGCTCAAGAGTTTTGACCACTAAACATTAGAGAGACAGATCAAACGTTATGCCGCAGTAACAATGTATTGCCTCATAAATCAATTGAACCTGTTACAATGTACATTGACATTGACGGAAGAATATTCAGATTGAGAACTATCCGCAGACAAGTTTGTCGAAAGTGGGGGAACCCTGGAGGTAAAAACCGGTTACGTGGGAATGATCTGATCACATTTTTAACAACTCACACAGTCTCAGATTAACATTTTTATGAGATTCTTCGGACTCTGTTGGAGATACAAAGTGATATCACTGGTAGAATCTGATGAACTAATCAGGTCATTAAAAAATGGACAAGGAATTTAATCTTGACCACAGGTGGAAATATTTTACCATAACTCTGAGTATTGAAATAATTAATTTTTAAACGGCGTAATTGTGCAAATCTTGATATAATATTAGTGGTGATTCCTCGATTGTATGAAAAAAAGGTTGAATTATATTTGCTAATATAAAGATGAAAAGCCATTATTAATGATGGATTATGACACTTTTAAATTGAGAGTGATAATTATGGCGTGGAATTACTCCTCTTCACCTTGTAGGACATATAACTTCCCCTGAGTCAGTGAACAGACAGCTGAGCGTGCTGAAAACCTTTAAATTGATAGTCAAGCTGCATCTCGAGTTAATATATGTAACTTTAGTATGATTTGAGTAGTTGACCTTTAACCACCTGCATGCATATCCTCGACGGAGTAAAAGTACTTGTATCAATCGTCAACACTAGTATCCGAAGAAGAATTCGTCCAGAGTCCGATGTGCATAGGTAACTCGATAAAATGGTTACAAGGATATTCACTATACGTTCATTTATAGAATTTCTCGGAGAATAATCTATCGATCATCACGTTTAGATATCTGCATTGAAACAAGTTGACGCGGTACTTGGGGGCCCCTATTTATGTTTGAATTATACACACGAGACGCTGCACTTTCATTCTATCCCATTTTCTCATTAGCCGTAACAACCTGAATGCTCGTGCATACCTGGCAACGCCAGGACCTCGCGTATACCTCAGACAATTTTACATTTTTCGAAAATTTTCCTTGTTATTATGCTGTTAGGGTGCTCCGAATATTGCAATTATCTTCCATATGACGTACAATATGTATAATTATCATTTTTTCACATATTCATTCTGGCAAATATCTACATAAGTATTCATGATTCCGTTATGTGCATTTCAAAACATCCAGGTAACTTCAATAATTTTCCTCACACTATCTTGTGAATTCTCGGATTTTCAATCGTCAGATTTCTTACATGCACAGAAATATCCAGTACAAATTACGGAAATCAACCAATTTTTTTACAGACAATTGTTCGTTTTCTTCAGCTTCTAATCTATGTGCTCAGCGCCAAGGGGATCCAAGCACTCGGATCAACTGTAGTTTGCTGTGCTACATGATGAATGATAGGTTTTATAATTCTTGGAAATTTTTATTCAATTTTTTAGCTATAAATTGCCGGATTTCTTTTCTCTACCGACGCAGGTGCAGATGCACGAGCCTCGAAAAGGTCGTTGAGTTCAATGGTCAATTTGAGAAATTGTTTTTTGCGAGTATGATGGGAAACTAAATAACCTGAGTGAAGATTTTATCAAATTGCTCTCATCGAGAAACGCAAGGTGATGCGATAAATGGAGCAAGTACCGATTACAACCATCAAATCATAAAGACCGCTACCTTTACGAAACAATAATCGATTTACTGGTCAATGAAATCGGTAGAGAAGAGAACTATTAACATATGAAAAAACAGTCGCAAAACGGCTGCCAAATGATGAGAGTTAAACCCAATCTGTTTTTTTCTACAATGTACGACAATATCAATTTAATTTTACACTTTAGCGTGCTGTGATTTGCCGATTGTAAATGGCCGGTTCCTACACTCTGAAATATAAAATAAAGTACGCTAGTCCGGCGTAAATTTCGTGTTTCACGCGTATGATAACAAACTTCGCCTCCAGCTCGATTACATAACGCGTAAAAAAACAAAATTAATCCCCTTGGAGCGTAATATACTATGTCTTATTAAATTTGATAATTTTGAAAAATGAAGGTCTCACGCCAGTATTCTGTTAATTGATAAGATACGACAACTACACTATTCCCCATCTCATTGAATATTTGTCATAGACAACGAAATGAAGATGATGCAATCGAAAGGTAAATGGCATCTGATACGGGCAATAAACATTAGGAAACTGATATTGAAAAACAACTTTTCCTTCCAACTAATTTGAAGATAACCACTTTAGCTGGAGCGATGAATTGTGATGCCATCCAATTCATGGAGACCTGAGTTGATTTTTCATTATCAGATTTATGGATGCGAGAGAAAAGTCATTTGCACTCCTAAAAAATTTGTTAAACTTTGATATTTCTCAAGATCAATCGATGAATATAGAAAGCATGAAGAATCAACTAGCAACGTACGTAGTTATAAAATTTACTGAACAAGTATACGTTTGAAAATCCCAGCACTTGGCTTACGTACTACCGCTATATTTCGTATTCAAGGACCATAATATGTATGTATGCATGTATAGAACCTCTACTTTTTTACAAGCAGAGGTTTAATAGTACTATAAACTATCAGTGAAAAGATTCCCGCGCATTTTCATCTTCCTGTCTCTCTCGCTATTTACATTTTTGTTGCTATACGTGAACGATTAACAGTCTTAAACCTATCGACTTTAAATGGACATGCAATCAATTTGAATATAGCAATTAGTAACAAAAAATTCGTTACTTTTTATCCAGTACAGATCAACAATTTATCGACTTATCACCCGTCATTGCCATTTCGCTACTGAATTGTAGTTTTCACAGCCGTTAAATTCAAGCATCCGAAAATAGATTTCAATGACTCAACGTGACAACAGTCAAAACAATGATATTGGTTAGGGCAGTACTATTAACTTCTACAAAGTAATTTCCCAGCAAACATGACTAATTATTCACAAAAATGAGTGAAACATCTATTTCCACGGAGGTTTCGATTTCCATCGGAATCTCTCTTGGCATAGACCACGCGTGGGCGATTAGCACGTGGCAAACTATATCGCCTGGATTTCTCTGCAGACACACACACATTGTAATACATTGTGCTCATAAAATCCAAAAATAAAATGAGGAAATATGTCAGAGCTTTTGATTCTTCTAGAAATAAAAATAAACCCCGTGAAAAAAGCGGAAAAAGGTTAAGACTCAATGCTTCCGTTTTCATCATCAACTGGTCGTCTTGTATACCTCGTTTTATAAAATATGTACACATTAGGATTGTCATCATGTAAATTTCATCGCCACGCCATAAAAATCCTTGGGAATGGGTTTCAGCTCTACCACAGAGCCGGAAAACGATGTCAGATTTCGAAATTTTGCCAGGTTCGAGAATAAAAGATGTCACGCGATGTCAAGTTCTTTCGGATTAAAAATTTCAATGATATCCGCAATAGTAAATTGAAAGGAACTATAACGATTGGCTATTAGTGTTGTCATATAAAATGACTACCTGCAGTGACACTCATTAAGAGGTCGTTTTTTAAAAACTATGATAGAGGAAATTCCACGTTTAATCATATTACTAACACCGACTCGTGTTATGATCGATTGATGACACATTACAAAATTTCCTTGCATCTCTGTTCAACTGACATTCACGCATCGAATATGGTGGATAAAACCGCTCAACTAGAATATAGAGAATATAAAATTCGTTATATCCTTATCTGCCTACTTTTCCCACCAGCATCATAGGCATCATAAATAACGACCATCTGCTTAGGAGACATAATTCGTCCATTTATGTAATTAAGATACCGTTCTTACGTTAGCCTTAAGAAGATCTGATAAAAAAATTAATGAATGAGTATAAGTGGAGTCAGACGATTCGCAAACAACCGGCTAATTTTGGCCTTATACAGGCATACGTATTGAAAAATTGATGAGTGAAAGAGATTCTACCGAAATCCGCATATGCAATTGATTTACGTTTCATTTTTGCGAAGAGAAGTTGTATAGATTCGGTTATCAACCAGACCATGGGATGATTTGACTGATAGAATGATGCCCTGTGCTCAATCCAAATCACATGGGGCAGCTACAAAAAATTTGGATAAAAGTATGATGCGTGATAAGACTCTGTTGGGTAACAATCTCTAACACAGGCACAAGTAGAGCAAAATCACTTGGTGGTGTCTTACTCTAAGATGTTTACACAAATGAAAACTTTCATTCTCCATTTCTTCGTGTGTGCCCAGAGAACGTTATTAATCGGGGTTTATGTATACCGACTAGATAAAATTGCGTCCAGCTCATGTGCCTTAACAAAACTCGATTACGTGACGCTTCGAGCAAAATCGTGGCACGTTTCAGTATTAACGTAATCAAAAAGCAACTGTGCTGATTAGAAATGCTCTATCGCTGTTTAGAAATGTTAGTGAGCCAACACCCTCTTGAAACAATTCTCACAGCTGTGCTGGGATAAATACTAATAACAGCATCTGAGAATTTTCTTGCGTCATTGCAATAAGTATTGTTATTGAATTCCACTAACTCTACTACCTCTTCAGCAGCGAATGGCGATAAAAAATTTCACTCGCAAACTGAAATAACATGAATCCCCAAATCCACACTGTTTGTCTCCAGTCTCTTACATATTTGTCCATCATCATGAGTGGTCGTGCATTGATCAAATATTTACGAACACTTGTATTTGATGATACGGTACTAAGTTTACGGAGAATCGGTGCATAAAATTGTGATGAAGAATATAAATAAAGCGTTACGTATGTAAGAGACTCGTAGCACAACTGCTACTTCAATTCCTATATATGCTATTTTTAAGCGAGATTTTTAGTAAAGTGCAAATAATGATGGTGGGCCATACTCTTAATTATTGAGTAATTTCCACAGATCTAGTGATATAGGATATAGTAAAGATTATATGATATGATTACCGCTCAGCTGTGTCGGGGTGTCGAGCCACGAGGTGTCGTAAGTATAACCTCGAAAGCACAACACGAGACACCAAAATATTCAGTGGGCTGTTTTATTTATTAATTAACAAATCTCACCTGCATACTGTCAGCGGATATTATTTCCCCGGAAAATTTACGGGCCAATTCGATGCCCAATCGGGATTTACCCGTTCCTGTCGAGCCGAGAATAACGAGAATTTGCACACGCGACATATCAAACTCTCCTGTATCCACCATTACTGGATCGTGCACTACAGTGCAATGTATTTGATATAAGAAAATGTCTGCTCACTAGTCACTCGATTAACAACACTTTAGCGCAGCTTATCCCACCAGACACCTCGTCGTCGTACAGTTATTCACTTGATTCAATATGGCGTTAAGTTGGTGTTTATTTTAACAGGCACTTTGTGTAGTCCAAGGTGCGCACGAGTTTTCCATCCCCAGAGCATTGACGTTCAACTGACAGCTGAAACTGCGCATGCGTCAGCTGCTCTTAGGTGTATATTTTCATCATGATTGTTCCACCACTCCAGTAGTTCAATTCGCTCAAATTCCATTTAGTTCGATACTCCCGAATTACTCAACTGCACTCTCCACTCGACAGGAATATTTTATAAACCACTTGCCAATTGGTCATATCGCTATGATACATCCAATCTGGGAAAATCCATTGGAGAACGTTCATTTGGCTTTAGGTGCTGATTTATACATCGTTGGATTACCCTCATGCTGCTGATTTTTTCTCATTTTTATTTATTTTTCATCATTCGGTGGAATCGGTTATCAATTTATATTTTTTCAATTATCATTTTTTCGTCAAATCAAATATCATAGTCTCAGTTCTTAGTGAAGGTATTTTTTATTTCTGTGTTCCATAGTTAGCTAACGAAAACTCAATTTGAATAATCACCTCTTCGTGGTTGTTCTATCTAATTCATAGAAATTGATTCTCTAAGGCAACTACAAATGAGCTTATAATGTGTTTATGTACCGCTTGCGTTTCACATTTTACCTGGAAACACTGTTTATTTACATAAATCCTGTTTAGCTTCTCGGCAATCTTATTTCACGTATCAGTTTTTCTCTGTATAAATTTATTCCAATGAATCAACATGTTGCATAGCGATTGACGCCTGCTGCAATAGGTAATGAGTTTTCCTCGATTTTCTGAGAAAACTCAGAATAAAATTGAATAACAGAATGCACATTGGAGTTATCCTTATCCCCGGCTTGTTCAATCCTGTAATTATGCATGTACATCAGCCGACTGACCGCCTGCTTATTAATTTAGGCGTTGCACCACTGTCACTGAATATTTCACATCGTTCCAAGTTAAAATTGCATCGGTGACAATGGTATTCCGGCAGTCTGACACTGACTGACATGCGATGATAATTCTATGAATTAATTTGCATGCCAGTTGGAGTGATGATTTCCACTGATACAACCAGATGCTATTTTGTGTGACACATAGTCGAATCGCGAGAACCAGTCGAAACATTTAGATACACCGCTAGTGATAGCCGATAAGAGGATTAATGGAGCCTGAAATAAGGCCAATTGATTTCGCGTGATGCAGAAATTCCCCGGTTGACAGAAATTAGTGCAAAAATAGATTTAAGGATGGAACATGACATCACGGCAAGTAATTTATTGAACAAATAAACACTACAATTATTACCGAGAGTGTCGTAATCCTATATCTGTGTATTTTTTTTTCTTTTTTCATCCTCAGAAGTTTTATAACACAAATTACTGTGACTATAATGACAGCTCTACTGTATACGTTTGAAGAATAGTATTAAAAGTGAGCTGACGCGACACATGGCGTCTGTAGCATCCGGATCATTAACTAGACTCATTTACACATAATTTGGTAGTGACTGTATTTATTAAGCAGCGTCAGGTTTTCCCAGATGATTTTCCAGTGGAGAATTTAACACGAATTTCATACCAGACGGCCCAGAAACCAAAAACCAGAAGTCAGAGCCAACTTTAACTCCCCCACTTTGCAAATGCTGATACATTCATCACAGAGTCGAGATACTAGACGAAAAGGTACGATAAAAAATTAATGAAATAACGAGAATGATACTTTACGGAGGGAATGTAGTAGCTTATGTATTCATATCGCCTTTTTAATGTGTAAAGCCAATACAACTGTGATATGACGTTCTCACGCATGGAAGTTCAGCTGTGCGTTTATCTTGAATGGTGACCCGATAGCACTGACAGAAAAGGGTCTCCTCGATGTCTTAGTTCCCTCGGTTTTTTCAACCTCATATCGCTTATAATATTCGGTTGATATATTTGGTTACTTGATATTCTTTTGAGAGGTTTTCAGACTTTTAAGCTCCAGTCTACAGGCTCCAGGCTTTTGATCACTCAACTATTCGGCGGTAATGTTTGAACTGTATAAATATAATAGTAAATATAAATATAATCGTAATTCTCATCGGAGTGAACAGGTTTTAGAAGAAAATGGTTATGAAAATTCAAATTTTATACAGGATTCAACGATTTTCCAACTTGATGGAACCACTGATTTTTTGTCGATATGATTTGTCGATACTTTTGAAGCATAGGGAGAAGAGATTCATAGCGAGGGTTTCAGTTAATGAATAACTCAATTCGTGAATTGTACAACACTTTATTGATATAGTAATATATTTCGAAATTTAGAGACGAAAAAGAACTGTTGAACTTTTTCCGTTTTCTTGAAAAAAGTACGATAGAGATAATAAAATAAAAATTTATTCAAATAGAAAAAAATATTTTCGCCTCTCACTCTCTTATCCTTTTTCATGTCAACAACAAAAATATGTGTCTCTCAACGAGTGGTATTACCAAGGAACTATTCAATTCAGAACGTCCAACTTCATCGAGTCTCACCAGTGAGGAAAACTAACGTCCTGATGTAAGATCGATTTCCAAATATTTTTCTTACGTCTGCCATTTATCTCATTCACTCATCTATAATTTTTGCCAAAAGCTTCTCTTTGTTCTTCTTCAGAAACTTGAAAAACTTGACCATTTCATAAAAACCAAGTATAACAACAATATTTTAAGTACACCTAGCATCTTCGGGCTTGTCTTTTCCATTTTTCTTATTCGTGTCTTCATGTTTACAATTGAAAATCAATTCTAAAAAAAAAATCTTCATACCAATATAATGCTGAAGTGACCTTATCAATAATTCCAATGAATTAATAGCCGTTAATTCTATTCGAAACCTTGAAGAATTTTTCCTCAATTTATGGGAGAGGCATTTTATCATTTCTTTATCATTTCGTTTGTATACAAGTTTAGATTACTTTAATTTTGTAAAAATTATCTACACGTGAGGCATCGAAGAATTTACAGCAGTAAATGAAGGTTTAATTTATTACTTCTACATGTATCATGTGTTATTTTTTACGTTAAACTTCCAATATGCATTATTTTTTTAATCTTTCATCTGTGCATTCATAATTTACACTATTCTTTAAATGCGTCCACAGTACATTGTGCAGTTAGGCCAGCAAGTTAGAGGTAAATTTTGCCTGGAGGTTTAGGAAAAACGATTTATTGTCGATTAGCTCTTGATGATGTACTAATCACTAATTATTAGTCACCAATCAGTGCCTAAAATTCATTGATCCTCGACACGAATGGTGTACAGACTTTTTAACGTTTCATAACGACAAAATGAATTTCAAAAACCATCATGAATTTACTAAATTCTATTGAAATCCATTCAGTCTCATAATTCAATTATGTAATTGGATTCGATCAAATAATGTATTATATATTTCCCTGGTTACTCTGGAGCAAAAGGTACAGTAAAATCGGAAGTACGAGTGGTCCATCTCACGTGAGTCCTGAAGAAAAAATAACTCATTTATTTTCAGGGGATAGGAATAATAAGTGTTAAAAAACGGTTACAATAACCAACGAAATATTTCTTTTTCAATTGACATTTTATTTTCATAGGCTTTAAATGACTCAACACAAGAGGAAAAATCGCATGTCCCGTTAAAGCGACTAAGTCTCTGGGGTATTCTTTCGTTTTAACCGAAACGTCGATATATCTGATTGCGAGAAAAAAACAGCCCAGGTATTGTCAGTTGTTCAGTTAAAACGAATGGTACATTTTTTTCAACATTTTCATTCTTTTCGGTCGTATTTTTTTCGGCCATTTTTCTGTAACACTCTTTTCTTACAAAAATAAGAGATTCTATACAGTGTAGAAAAGTATTGTGTGAACTCCAGACCAAAGAGGATCAGCAATTGGGGAAAAAAAAATTACCTTTTGTAAAAATTTCTAACCCTTCTGGGTGTGAATTTCACATGATTTCTTCTACAATGCAGTTTGATGAATCGCAGTTGCGTTCTACAGCATTTTCAATTTGTTTTGCATTCCTGTGTTGTATCCAATTTTTATGCTACCTTCATTTAATATTCTTATTGATAATTTTGTGCATTATTAATATGTTGTTATTTTTTTAACTTTTTTTGTTTACTTCCAAATGATTTTTTTTCGTCTATCTAGAGTGAGGCCCGTTTCTCGGCTTTTACAATGTATAAAAATAAAGGATCAAATAAAATATTGTTTTCCTCTCCTTTCAATAAAAAACCTAATATTATATGTCAATCATCCATATGCTTGAATGAGCCTCAACGTTTTTTCATCTATCACTTACTTTATCCTCTTAAATGTTAAGCATTGTTATAATTATAAATGTAATGCTTATTCAACTCGTTAAATGTTGCATAATGTATTTACAACAAGTGGCAAAACTACACTTTAATAAAAAAAAAAAGTTCCTCAGCCTCAACGTAATTTTAACGCACGCGCACCGCGCCCTTTGTTTAATCACGTTTTCAACTGATTAGTTATTTTCACTGACGTCTCTTTTCATGTATGGAAAAAAAATTAAATCAAATATGATAAATATGAAAATTGGATCTCGAAGTAGGACACATCGGCGCATCGGAACGCAGTTTCGTTTAGTAATGAAGGATAATTCATTTCATAAGACACAAGTCCATTCAATTTTCAACCAATCGAACATAGAAGGATAACGTAATGGAAAAATAAAAATAAACAGAAATTCATCTTAGATGCAAAATAAAAACGTAAACTTGACGAGCAATTCAACGGTAGCAATTTATCCCTTCAAGTCTATTATCTTAATAAAGAAAAAAAATTTTTTACATTACACCGAGCATTTCAATTCTTTCTCTCACTTGATTAATTGTTTAAATTTTCTTTCGCTATTCATTTATTATAACTATAAATTTATATCAATGTCTATGTGGCTAACAGGTACGTTTGCACTCTTCCAGGAAAAAGCATTAATAACGGCGATCAACAGTTCGCGTACGAGATATTTAGATTGCATGATAATGGATTTATTTTAAAATCCCCGTGAATCCAAATACTTCATAATATACCAACATATTCAAAAAGTCGTATTGGTTATTTCGATACATCAAATCTTTAGATGATTGTCGAGTATCGATGGAAGCGGAGATGTATACTGCCGATTGCTGTTTTCGATGACGGTGTTAATTACTTGCTATTTCCCATTTATTCTCACATACAAGCCGGAATGACGGTCATTTGTGAGAAATTTTCTTGTTTTCATTGAAAATATTCATGGACAATTGCCATAAAAATTGGATGACAAGTAAACTCAAGAAGAAAGTAATGAGGAGTACTTTCCATCAGTACAAGGGGGAGGGAGACTCAAAATGATTATTCAACAATTGGACTCCTTACGTCACACTGCCTATTTTTAGAACCATCAATTGCATCAATAACAAACCAAGAATCAATGTTAGGTAAATAAACCGCGTTGAGCAAGGCACGAGTTAGATTTTCGGAAATATAAATGCTTCAATTTTTGTACAAACCTTAAAAATTACATAAAAAATATTTATTACTCAGTACTGAAACTCGGCCTTCGGCAAAGCACGACTTAATGTTTATCCCATACAAAAAATGTATAAAATACGTGGAAAAATGACTAATGAAAAAACCTTCAAGTTTTATTTTCGACAACTTTCAATTGAACAATAATTATTATTTTGAATAAAAAATGTCCATTACCCGAAATGCTATCGCTGGTTTATAAATGACATCTGATTTCGTTTTGTGCAAAGTTTATGATAGTTCACGAGCTGCTAATTTTTGAGTTTTTCTTTTTTTTTTATTAACATTAAGTGTAAAGCTGTCGACATACTGACAGAACGAATTTCCGGACGCCGATAACAATCCACGAGTGACGGTGTCTGCCGACGCACTAACTATATCGCTACGTGAAGCACTTAAGTTGCGATTCAGGCTTCCTCGTATTGTTAATTAGTTCTTAACTCGTGTTGATATCCACTGTACGTACATATTCTTCGTATAATAAGATACCAACAATATTATTTCCTGTCTTCTACGCACGTAGAATCAGCACAACGGTTATTTGAAAATGAAAAAAAGAAGTAAAGATGGGCAAAGCAAAAAAACCTCATACTTTTACACTCATTCACAAACTCAAGCACTTTTACCCTCATCATTTTCTCTCTTTCTCAATAATAAGCATGCACAATTTTCTATCTCTCAACTTTTCACTATTCACTATTCGCCCGTCTTTCCACCGAACTATTGTGCTCTTCTACCTAGAGTTTCCTGTTGGCCGGTAATGCTATTGTATTCACTGCCTCTTTCTCTCCACCGTTTTATTTCTTTTTATCATTATATTTTTGTGTCCCCCCTCCCTCCCCCCAACGGTATTCTCAGCCTCCCTCTCTACAGCTTCACCGTGTGCCCCTGTCCCTCTTTGTTTCTCTTTTTCTCCCCTTCCCACCTTTTACTCTGTTACTTTTTGCATTTTCATTTTGTATTATTTGTCTCCTCCCTTTTCTCACTTGTAAAAGTATGTATAAACGAATACTGTTACACACAATTGTAATGAACACATTTAGTTTCCCCCCGCCCTCTCCCCTTACTTTTCTTTCACCCGTATCTCGTACTCACTCGCAATATGAACCACCTTCAAATCAACTCTTAGACTTTAATTGAATATTGTTTTATCCTCGTGGTTAATTGATGAATTGATAAAAAGTAGTGACTTCACCATTGCTGTTTTATAATATTGAAACATTTGATTCTCATTTGCTTGGTGGTTCGTGGGTCTGCGTCGATAACTATATATTAATTATAGTTAATAATATTGATAAAGTTGTATAGAAAATTACTAAAGCGAAGGGAAAAAAATGGTATGAAACAATTGAAATCATGTAACATTAATAAGGTTATCACGCTTATCTATTCAGTTTTTAGTATTTTACCATTGTAAGTTTCCTCATTCTTTTCTTCGATATTTTCCCAATATATATTCTATATATATATTTCATATATGTATAAATCGATACACGTTAAAAAAATGACAACATCATACGTTCGTCTTGTTAATAAGTGACACGATTAAAACGTAATTCTTGGCCGCGCCAGCACACGGAAGACCCCAAGATCAGTCGGTGTCTACGTCCAGAACACCTACGGATCTACCAAACGAGATATTCAACTCGTTCACACATAGCTAGTTCGATGAACTGACCCAAGTCCAATGGCTTCCGGTTGCCATGCAACGTGAAAGTCGAGTAATGATTTCAAAAATCACAATAACCAAAATTCAATGAAAAACCAATGGATTCCATAATCATGTCGAAAGAAAAAAAAAACGCCGAAAGTCGAGGCTGAAGGATTATACTTCTTTTATGAATCATAAATTCGTATCTTCATTTTTTAACATTTACATCGTTAACTGCATCTAAACTGAAAAGGAGCACTTCATAGCAAATTCAAAGCTCAGCTAAATCAACAAAATATATCTCAATAACTTTTTCAACACAAATTCTCAAAAGGGGTAGTAAATGAAGTAAATGAAGAAGAAAAAAAAATCACAAGGAAACAGGGCCCATGAAACATATGATACGGCCCAGTGAGATGTGCATTATAAAGATTTCCACAATAATTCGAACAAATGATAAAATATAAATCTTACGAATGAAATCTTAAAGCTCATCTCTTATTTTACCACAATTTCAATATTTGTTTTCTATCACTACGAAAGCTACGGTTGTACCTCAATACACTATGTAATTATATAGTACTGAATCTTATACTTAAACCTTATTCAATGTCTTCAAATAGAGCGAAGTTATTCGAAGAAACAAAGAGCAGCAGTCGCACAGCGACTCCTATTCTCCCAAATTATAAACAAACTAAAAAATAAATTCAACTGTGGCTCAACCACACGTGTATCATACTTATAAAACTCTTTACGAATAAATGAATAATGTGAGTTGTACGATCGCATGAAAGCCACCAGAAACTCGAATGGTCCGAAAAAAAAAAACAAAAACAAATTATTTATTTCAACCATATCTCGTATTAACTTTGGATGTCTGTTATGAAAACTGCGTTTCAACTGTCTCTTTTTCCCAGCCATCAGATTCTCTTGCACATGACTCATTTCTTTAATAATGACGTAGAAAAAATATATTTACACATGTCGCATCAACTTGGATATCTATTTCGCTCTCCAATCCGTAATTTATAATAGTTCGAGTGTTTCTCTGAATTCAAGTCCTCGAGCGATCGTATCAACTCATACCAGGCTATTCTCCACCATCCCTTAGTGTACTTAGAGATACGTAAAAATTGTAATTAAGATATCTAAGAAGAATCTGCAAAACAAAATCACGCGTTTAATTACAATTTTTAACTCTAACAGTATTCCACCCAAACTTTCAATTCATCTTCGTATGAGTCTCATCTGACTCATCAATCTTGCTACAACGCAAAGTACAAATGTACAAGACACGCTCGTCTCATCTAACTGACTGGCTCAATGGATTTTCGCTCTTCCAGGGTTTGAGAGATCAAAGAAAATTTGACCATTTCATTTTAGTAGACCATGTGGATATTTTAATGTCATTGTATGAGGCTGAATTTGAAAAAAAAAAAGTTGAATAAAATGAGCGAGCGTGTGAGTGCAGTCAGCGATGCGTACGTACTTGCATGATTGCAGTTGAAAACTATGAAAGAATCCCACAAACCGGTCCAGTCTAGCTATCGGCTTTTCCAGTATACACGAGTCTGCTGGTATGCACCAAGTTATGAGGTGGCAGCCTCATGGATAAATCAGGGGGAGAGGTCCTAACCGATGGAAATTAGGAGACAGAGGGTGAAATTGGCCGAAGAAACCTCCGGGAATTACATGGAGATAGGGTGTGACGGCGGTGAAAAGTCCATCGGTTGATGAGGACACGTGTGTGAGCGCTATCTTGTTCTTGCTATTCTCATTCCTTCATAACGTTTCTCACTTCCCTGAGCTGCGCCAAGCCTCTCTCGCAGGTGACCCGAGCGGATTGGGCGTATTATCACTGTGTGTATAATTTTATTCTCATTTTCACCAAGATAAAAACCAGATCCACCGGATGTTGTTTGTATCCATCAGCCCTTGCTAGGCTTCACTTTTGGTTCTCAGCGTTAGTCACAGTCAATGGAAAAAAAGCTATTGATGTTATTTCACGTGAATTTATAAGAATCTTAGACTTTCAGGTCAAGATTAAATTGAAATAATTCAGAATTTCCTCAGCGAGTCAATGCGAAATACCTTCGCAGCACTTGAAGCCTCTTGTACAATTTTTTCTGGCGCATTCGTAGCTCAGCAATTTTTGACAAACTATTTTCCTCAACGTCCTTGAGCATATCACAATATTTGGCTGACTGTCGTAGAATTGTTACTTTTGCTGACCTCTCTTTGTCCTGAATTTCTGGCACCAAACGTCTCAAATCCTCGTACGCATTTCTCAGATCTATTCTTCTCCGTCTCTCCATGTCATTGTGGAGATTTCTCTTTTGAATATCTGGCTCATCGTCCGATGAACTTCTCGACGATGATGAAGATGATTTAAGTGGCGATGACATGGGCGTTGGTGGTCCACTCTTTGGCATCTTTGTTTTTCTCTGGTATGCACGCTGCTTCGGACGTTTAGCCACTGGTTCCGGCTCTTGCTCCTCAAGATCATGCTCCTGCTTGATCTTTTGCTTCGGTTGACTACCATCTTCCTCTATTTTTCGCGGTCTACCGCGTGGTCGTCGCTCTGGTTTTTCTTTGAATCCACTCCGTCGAAACACTTGTTGATCCGTTGAATTTGGGTGTCTCAGTAACATCGGTGGTCTACAAGGCTTCTCGAAATTCACAACGTCAATTTCCTCTTCTGTAACAAAAATAATATTTTTCCATGGTAAATCCACTTATTTCCAATTCTCAAACTGGCATAAATAAATAAGAATACCCTTGGTACGACAAAAGGAGAAAAAAAATATTACTTCAAATCTAGATTGATACAATGGAGAGGATAGATAGAACTCCGCAATCTGAACAAGTTTTGAAGGAGCAATGTCCGTCATCATATTGACTTGACTGACAGTCACATTCAGAGAAAAGAAAAAAAATTTATAAATTGACATAAGAAAATATTGAAAAAAAAAACGAGACGTATGAAAACGCCAAATGACACATCATGCTTATTCCGTCAAGCATCACTGCTCGATTGACTCACTAGGTGAAGGACGTCTTGGCAGTTTAAAGGCACGATGCTGGGTGCGCATGGGAATGAAAGAGATGCCCTGCTTCTCCAGTATTTGAATAGCGCGTTGATGGGTGAAATTTTGTTAAATTCCAGATCGTATAGATTGACATTCGCTAGAAAGGAGTGTCCGACGAGGGACTTTAAGCGATTAATTCCCATCGCCACACAGACACCAAAATAGAGCATCATATCTGGTAGGAGGTATTCACAGTATGAGCTATGTGGCCAATGGATGGTCAAAATTTAAAATTCAATCTCAGGAGAGTTGAATGACACATATTTGATTATCGATACATTCCAATTCTCCTCTACCAAATTATGATTTGGAGCTCTTGAGGTGGCTGATAAAGCATTTATGTACTGCCTCCGACGTCAGAGTTTTGTCTATTTGACAGTGTCACATATCAAATTCATATGTGTGTTTATTCGAGTGATAAAAAAGTTATAAAGCTATGTATAACCTTGGAAAATTATTCGAAAAGCACATGGGTTGGTGAAGGCGTTGACTATGTCATATAATATGTGGGCGTTCCACTGCAGAATATCCTCCATCCCCGACATGTGGCATCATTCCCTTTAAAAACTATCACTGTATTTCTTTTTTTCTTCTATTCCTCCCAATTACTCCTTCCCGCTCTCTCTCTCTCTCTCGGTCTCTCTTCGTCATTCAATTTATTCCCTCGTAAAACAGCCTGAATTTTTTGAGGCATTTATCACCACTACTGATTACGCCATGGAGAAATGATGAAGAGAAAAAGAGCATTACAAGTTAAGGGATACAAATCAGTAGTTGATATTAAATTGCCTAAAACCCCTAAAAATCCACAAAAGTAAACTTGAAGAAAAAATGGAAAACTTGAAAACGTTTGCAGTATGGCATTAAAACTCATTGACTAAAATGCTAACTGATGAAAGTGCTGAGATCCTTGATTCCTAATTCAACTACCTATCGAATCCTCAGGTCTGACAAATATCCATGAAATAAGAGACGAGAATAAATACAAAGAAAGGGAAAACGAAATTTGAGAATCTCGATGATTGGACCCTTTGGAATCACGAAAACTCCATTTATTCTCGACGACACATTTCAAATGAGAAAAAGCCCCCGCAGTATCGTGGTATAGAAGTGATTGAGTCTATTAACTGCCAGCGATGACGATGACGATGATGCTACTCCAGAGGGCACGTCTATAGAAATTACACGGTTCAAGGATTCTCGTAAATTTTACTGGCATTTTCAAACAGACGAATAGACAGAGTATACCACTACTCAAGGCGAAAAACGACATTACACGTGGAAAGACCCACACACTTTCGTGGTTATTACGGGAGCGTGTCAGTGCTATATACGTATCTAAACATACACGAAATAAAAATAAGATAGAGAGAATGTACTGGTTGATGGCTAATCGATACAGTCAGAGAGTTCATGGTGGGAGAAAAAAAAATATAAAGAATAGGAATAGTTATAACCCCACTCTAACCAGTGGTTAAATACGAAACAAGATGGTGAATCCAAAGCCGGAAGTGGGAGGTCGAAATAAAACTAATGAGTGGGAAAAAGACAAAATTGTAATGGGATTGAAGCAGTTGGGAACAACATTGAACCGAGAGATAAAAGTCGTTTGGTCGGTGTGTGTGTAGATGAAGTGAGTAAGAGGAAAAGGCCAGTGGGAAAGAGAGAAATGAAAAAAAAAAAGGAAAAGATGTGGCAGTGAGTGAGGTAGATGTTGAGGTAGTAGTGGGGGTCAACGTCGATTTCACGACGGCACGTGCAGCCACCTAAGAGCGACCTTGGGGGTCAGTGCTCCCTCTTTTTTCCTCCTATCGTACACATCAAGCTATATGTATATATATGTATATATATATATACATTCAAGTGAATAACTCTGTATGAATGTCGCCGCGAATTGGGGGAGACGCCCTGGCCACGTGATCGGTGCTGGGGGCATTAGGCTCCGTCGGCTCCGTCGGCTCCGTCGGCTCCGTACGAAACTATTGAACGCTCTATGCTTTCCCCCCTTCTCCATAGGCACATATTAACTGACGGTGGTTAAAGATCAAGGCAGGATGAGAAAGCTCACCGTTCATACACCTAATCACCAGCGAAAATAAATAACATAAATTTACACACCAGCAAGAACTTAAAATTCATGACAAAAAAAAAGAAAAAAAAATAGAAATGTTCATTTGAGCTGAACTATAATAAATTACGTTGACTCCAAATTCCGCCGATTGATGAACGATTATAAAGTCACCTTTAATGTAATCAGAGTGACCCTTCAGAAGATACTACCGAAATTTTGAGACACGATGTCGCAACATCCGTCGCTCACGTAAAATATCGGTTATCTCTGCATATCTCTCGGAGCCATTTATCAGTTTCACGTTCTGACCTTACGTAATCGGTACGATATAACAATTCCGTTGGAATATAACATTTTATCACTCATTAAATTGTTCTGCTATACTGAAGTCTCTCGGAATTTTTGTAAGATCCTCCTGAGCAGACAGATATATACATGAAAGAGGGTTTATTGGAAAGAAGAAACGAAACAATAAATCAATGGGTGTTTTAGATTTGCCCACGCCGCGTGTGCGAACTCGTGATGTCTTTTCGCCTACAGATTCAATCGAGTTTGAATTTACGAAAGTAGGTGCCGACCATCATGATAGTTGTGGTGGATGGTTCGGTGAAAAGGGTGCGGAGGGTGGAAGAGAGGGAAAGAGGTTACAATTGAGCTTAGCACAGGTGTTCTTAGAAATGCCAATCTATCTTTTTGTCATGAACTCCAGGTTTCATTTGACACCACACTTGGAAAGATGTTAAACACCACTTTAAAATGATACGCACGAAGGTACTGGAGCGTGGCCAGAGTGAGAAAGTAAGTGGAAACACTGATAGTAATAACTAGTGTATACAAGTGGAACCAGAAGGGTGACTGACGAAATAAGAAGCCACTTTTTTTCCCCTCCTCCCTTGATTTCTGTAAAACAACGTACAGATACCAAGTGAAAGATACTTTCCAATCGTTCTTTACCGTCTCGTTTCAGCGCATACTATTCAATGCACATGTACCACTGCCAACGAGACATGCAACTACGACCTGTCGTTAACCCCTTCCTCCTTGTCCTGCCCCTCTACCTCTACCATCTACCTTCACATGCGATATTCACCCACCTGTACTTATGTACTTTCCAATCAATTAATTAATTCACCTCTTCGCATATTCAAAATGGAATTTTCAGGAATTATTCAAATTTAATGCCGAGCCTTGAAATTATATGGAGTCAATTGAGTAGTCTCATCCTTCAAGTCAACTGTTCGCTAACTAATAGGAAAACACTCTAATATGACTAAGAGACTGATATGATTAAATAATTTTATCAGTGCGCTATATCCCAGATCGTGAAGAATGCGATCAACATGGCAATTTTTATTATTTACATCTCTCTACGCAGATATCGCATTATAGTGATGAACTCTTCGTCTCGGAAAGTGTATGGAACGCCCTGTTGAGGCGATAAAAATAAATGATAAATTTCGTGATGCTACCCAGCCGGCACAATCAATGCCAGAATGAGAACTCAAGTGAAGTGAAGATCGAACGAGAGAGAGAGAGAGAGAGAGAGAGAGATCAAGGTAGAAAAGTGATTCGTGGTTCTGTATAAGACAGAACCGTCGGCCCCTGGGCTCCCCATAAACGGCAACCGGTCGACATTCCAAAATCAGGTTTTGCGTCCGACATGTCCAAACGCCGCCTAATTCTCGTGTGTGGTACCCGCGGAGGCCCCTAACAGCAGGACCCAACTCCTCAATTCCACGAAGCCCGACGGCTCTTTTAGGACCCCTTCTAGCCTCCTTTTTACTCCATCTCGTTACTTTGCTTAATTTTTTGTTCAGGTTTTTTCTTTGCGGATGTCTTATCTTGACGGGGGAAAAAAAAATAAAAATAAAATAAAAAAAAAAGAGATATTGAGGAATTCGGTACTGGAGCCGTATGGAAATGGTCATCAAGAAGTGGTGGTTAAAAAGAAGCGGGAAAAAAAAATGCGGATAGCAAAAATGGAGAAAAAAAAAGATAGTAAAAGTGTATAGGCGAGAAGAAAGGCATGAGAAACATGCAGTGAGAAAAATATATGTGTGTGTGCGTGTGTGAAGTCGGGAATTTTTTTGCCCACGCCACTTATCTACGCTCTCTCACCCACTCAAGAGTGGTCGCACCCGTGCACCCATACATTCAAGCCGATACGTGTAAGGATACAATAACATCACAGAGACCCAGCGACTTAATGAATGAATGAATTGCGTCATCGCGGCAGTGAGATGCGCTACGGACTTTACCACATTCAAAAAAGTTGGTATATGTGTATATGTGCCCGAGAGCGTTTAACTCGTGACTGGTGACCGTGAAAAATAACTAAACGTGAAATACTACAGAGGAATAGTATAGTAGGATAGGTCGATGTACCCGTGATTTGATGAGCGTGAGAACGCTTAGAAAAATAATAGCGCGAATCGATTTATTTAGGTTTTATCGAAGCGGAAGTGAAAAACAGATGAGAGGAGGAGGATTGGCAAGTTGAAGAGCAGATACCGCCAGAATTCGCCGAATATTTGATATCTCTTTTTATCTGTAGATAATTTATGGAAGTTTTTTTAATTGGAATTGATGTCCTATGGGTTTTATCGAGGGAAGGTGACCTGTCTCGATTCCAGCGATATATTTCACTCGACATCCACTCCTCGCAAATTCCTCAAAGGTTTTACCTGAGAAGGATTCCCTACCTTCTCTCTCGATTTCTGAGATTTTTCGTTGTTTTGCATTCTGATATAAGATACGCAAACGATTAATGATGCCGTTCACATACTTCTTGTGTACGTTGGCTACAGCACTGACGCCGTGAACACGCCTTTCAGCGATCGACTTTTCCGGTTGCATAAAATATACAGCGGAAAAACGTAAAATACTCGACGGTTTAATGGAAAAAAGCCCATTGAAAAAGTAGCGAGCAAGAAGTAAACGAATTACCCGCTAAATGCATTATGCTTTTTACGATACACAATTACAATCATTACACGTTAAAAAGATGGCAATTTGATTATCCGTTGATTTTTGCACAACATATATTGCCCAATTTTCCTCGAACGAAGAGAAAAATCCAATAATCGCTCATTATCATTTGTGAGAAATGTTACATTGGAATGCAAAAGAGAAAGAGCAAAAAGGAAGGAATATTCAATGAAATGCCATTATGTAACACATGAAGGAAGAGAATAAGGCAGGCGAAAAGATAAGAATGTTGTCAAAGTCCAGAAACGCATTTCAATTTCTCAATTTCTCAATTTCTCCCGGATTGGTATATCGAATATAAATTTAATGACATGACTTTGCGAAAAGAAATTTGATAAATGAGAAGGAACTGAAGCATCAGACAGTAATAGACACGATTAGGTCGAGTTGACTTCTCATGGAGTGTTCCGGGGTGTCTGAGCTTTTTCTCAGAAATGGCTCACAGTCATCCTGAACCGCCTACGCGGAATCAAGACGCAACGGACACGTCAGCTCTGCATTGCACTTTGCCCACGGATGCACTTCCACGTAAACGTCTGAAGTGTTAATTATCAGGAAAAATGTGCAATGACAGATAATCATGATGCTAATAAAATTTCTCAATTCTGTACGTATGTTACAGAGAAAAAAAATAGCAATAGAGCAGTGGCTGATTTTCCCGCTGGGTTATACCATCGCTTGTTAACAGATTTACCAGCAATCATTTGCGAATCGGTGCCGGGAATATACGATAACGATCTCTCAAAGAAGCACGTGCCGCAGGCTACTCTACATTGCCCCAAGAGATGCCAGGAGAAACGGGAGAGAGAGAGGAGATGAGTATCAGAAGATAAGATTGGAATCATTTTCTGGATGTACAATGTACATACACGCTGTATGTACATCTATAAAATCTATATTAAGTAAAATTTATTAGCACCCATATTAGCGCCTTTATATTCGGGGATTCCCCTTATTACTCAGCCTTGCGCAATCATGCGACGCGCGTTTATTCCGTATCGCACATTGTCTGCAACGTCAGTGGCGCCTCACTGTCATATACGTAAACCTACGATGACGTAGAATGCATAACATCGTAATTTGTCCACTTCCAACACATGCAGGCAAATGTACATCAATTTGAGGTCGAGAAAGATCCACTTATCGTTTTGACCCTTCGACATATTGAATTTGTATTACATTCGATCATGTCAATATAATACTTTTTCTAACTTTTGATAAGGAAATGAAAAACAACGGTTGTTATTGTCTGAGGAGGAAAAACCAGCACCTATATCCGTATTTAGCATCTGATTATTCTCGGAAGTGATGGCTGTATTTTTTAAAATACCATGGGGGCATTTGTGCGCCCTGCCAACTACAGCCCTGACCAATACTCCCTGCTTCTCTTCCCTTTTTTTTTTTTAATCTTTTATTTCTCTCGCGCGGCGAGCTGTTCTTGCACGAATAGCAAAAAGGGCTAACCGCATTCCGACGACCATTTAAATCACGACCGGCGTCCCACGCCCAACCGCAAGGTGGCCTGACAGGGGGCTACCAATGACGTCATCCAACTCGCCGCATGACCTTCGAGTTCCCGCGCTTTCCACTCGCGAAAAGAATATACAACTTTCAACATACGCGTCATCATAACCTATACCTCGAGCACGTCAGTCCTGACGTTTGATCAACTTCTTGTTGATCAATTGCAAATTGCAGGGAATTCAACAGAATTTCAAGAAATATGTTACATCCTTTTAGACCTGATCGACACGAACTTTATAATCTAACTCTCGCGGTGACCAAAGTGGCATTTCCACTCGGGCAAATGTGTATAGATGCTTTTACAATATCGCAATTATAGTGTGTAACGACCGGCGACTCAAACAACACTAGTTCATTGAAGATAAAAAAGAGGATTAAAAAAAAATAAATCGAACAAGCGACGTGCAAAAAAAATGGCCGAATGGTAGAGCGAATGACTCCTTCATTTCATTAATTCACAATTCGACACGATGCAAGGAGAAGAGAAATGTGTCACAGTTCTACACGGTTTATCCGTAGACAGGATGTCGGCATCTCAAATTAATGTCAAAAGAAAGAATAAATGAATTCGACCGAGTTTCACCCTTACAGACCAAGTTATTCGCTTGAGATACTCTGTAGTACAGGTCTTTTAAACTCACATTTTAAATTGGCCACGTATATGACTACACATGTACATTAATACAGAAGGAAGGGAGATTGAGGGCGAACGAATGAAGGCAAAATAAATACACATGGTAAAAAAAAAGGGGGGAAAAAAAGTTACAAATAAAAATAGAGAGGAAACGAAAGGACGAAACCGGAAAGATTGCGTGCCAGAGTCTCTGACTGTGTTACTGGATGCTTTATGGCGTGGGCGTCGTCCTCTCACGCGATATATATCCACCGGTGCAACGGACATTTTTTTTTAATAGCCGGAGAAGAAGATACTTTGAAAATATATGCATAATACCGAACTACCCCCCTGTATGATTCATTATTTGTCGGCACATGTCAAGTTGAATAAAATGATCGAGCTTAGCGAATGCAATATTTGATTACACCGACCTCGGAGTCGGATCAGAGAGACGAAGAGAGATGAGAAAAATCTAAATTGATGCTATCAAAAAATTGTCCTTGTATATTTGATTAGACAACCTTACTTTCGACGAGTTGAGTAACATGAATGAATAAAAAATAATGGTCTGAAGTGATACGGATGGAATCACTTCATTCAGTAACTATTCAAAGGTATTGCACGCATGCGCATCTCGGCAATGTCTTGAAATGCACGTGTTTATTTCACCTGTAGTCGGTATACGGCTCATATACGAGAGATATATATATGTGCCTCGCCATGTAGCATAACAGCAAGAGTCAGTGTTCTCTTGGCGAGACGACTCGAGCATTCCGAAAGGTGGATATTTCTTTGCCTCTCTATCTAACATTGTGCTCAGGTATTATCGAAATGAGACAAACCTCAACGGTAGGCATTGGATTGCATGTACTGTCTACAGCAGTTGATGGTAGTGGGCACAGGGTTTACGGTATGACATTCCTCGCGTTGACGACAGAGGATTGCTATGCATTCGGCGTTAACTATAAGTGACAGGTAAAATGGACCTGATGGACAGAATGGACCAAACGGCCAGAGTAGACCAAAAATATTCTATTTTTTAGTTACTTTTTTGCATTGTACCCGTCAAATCCGAAAATTGCAATTGTTTTCATCTCAGTGTGTTTCCAGAATCAATTGGGATTAAATTCTGATACAACCAACAGAAGTAAGACAAAAGTAAATTTTCCAATTATCCCCGTTTTTCCACCTGTTACGTCTTGCTCGTTCTTTCCCCACTCTAATCATTTCATCGAGTATCCGTACACTGCAAAGTGCACAATACACGATGTCATCATATCATCATTGTGCAACATATGATTTTAACATATGCATTGTTGAGAAAATGTGATGATAAATTTTGTATGCATAGTTGATATTCCTCTGTGGTTATTATCTGTGATTGGTTTTATCCGCTTTGTTGGCATTTTTTCGCTTCTTTTTTTTTTCTTTCTTTTATTTCCCACTCAATCCGACATCAGATGATGAAGAGTGTCACGAATCCAATGTGGATAAGAACCATTGTCGATTGTACTTCTATTGGTGATGAGCAGTCAGTGTGAGTTGAATCGACTGAATGCGCTGAATCGATTCAGCGGTGTGGGGGGTAAAGAAGTGGGTGGTTTGGGGGGTATGGGGGGTTCTATAGTATGCGGGTGCGCCCATTGGCGTCGGGCAACACAACACCAACGCGGATCAGTGCACCAATGAGAATAACTATTCAGGGGATACGAGAGAATCGACAGAATTTCAGCATTAGAGTTGACCATGTCTTCCCTTTTACTGCAACTCACGCTCCCTTCAAGCATTTTCCTGGGAGCATTTCTCCAAATGGCATGCCAGAAAGGGCAACAGAGGGAATAAAAAAAAGGGGGCTGGAGAGAAATGAGCGGCATGATATACGGGCCAAGAATTTTAAGTGCACGAAATGCTATGATGTACGAGATTGAATGCCGCCTTTATCGATGATTTAGCGGAATAAATTACACTGAGAAAAAAATATATATTTTTACCAATTATCCATTTACTTGAGGGGCATTCAGACGTTCGAGTCATTGGGAATTCCCCATTCTGTTTCAATTACACGCACATTGTTTTTGGAATACGTTGTAAAAAAAACTTGATAATGATTATCATTTTGCAATGAATCATTTAAATTATTCGATCAGATTTTCTTGTAGTTAATAAATTCATCTTTCACAAGTAGTTCTTTTTCTCATAGTGAAATCAGAATTGTATGGGGAAGAGAGGATAAAATTGTTGAATGAACAACGTCAGGGCGAAAGCGGATTAAACAAAAAAAATTTTGAGAATAATGAACTCACCAGAATCTGATGGTGTTTGTACTCCTAAATTCTCCATATCCTTGGTATTTGGCTGATTGATGTGATAACAATGATCGCTCAATGTATTTCTGATCTCTGTCTCCATAGCAGTGATATTTGTGCTTGATGAATTAGAGTGAGTTGGGGTAGCGAGGGCAAGTCTCCTCCTCTCTGGGCATTTCCTCACCAGCTGTCCAGTGACCTCGCTAACGGGCGCGGCCTTGCCCATAGACATGCACTCGGACAATTTCTCATTGATGCAGATCTGATCGTGTTTGAATATAGGTACATCACATTCACTCTCTGTATCAGACTCTGTTGAGCTCTGTGGTGTTTCTGGTCTTATTGAATCACCATCACTCTCTAAATTATCGTTACGCCTGTGTTGCTGATAATGTGTTTGTATTTGTGTTTGTGTTTGTAGTTGTGATTGTGATTGTTGTGAGGGTGTTGCACGAGATATTAATAAACTACGACCGGCCGCTACTTTTCTGTGCACCTGACTATCCTTTTTAGCTGGTAATGTTCTGTTGTGCTCTTTGCTTATACATAAACCCGCCCACATGCAATCGTGGTGACGTATTTTACGTGATTCGTAGCATACATCTTGGCCGTATAATTCGGATTGTACATTCTCTTCGTACGTACAATCGCGATAATGTGTGTACATGTCGAGAGGTGTATCCAAGTCAAACTTTTTCCATATATCGTCCGACAGGACTGTATCCAGTGGCTCCTCGAGCAAACCAATGTCTGGTGAGTCCCACACTGGCACCGGCATTTTCCTGAAAACATCAATTTATTTTTTCATTTTTAAAAATTATAAGCGCTATCCGGATTATTTCTATCGTGTCATCCAAGTCATTAGATTTTTTATGTATTCAGTTAGGGTTTTTTCTCTGTCAAATTAAGTGAGTAAACGCATCTTTTACGACCGGAAACACGCGCGTCTCGTGTTGATCAGCAGTTACAGATAAGCCTATGAATATTCTTAAATGTCAATGATGAACGCAAAATGAAAGAGGAGCAGGAGGTTCGTCAAATATATGGAAGAATTGTCAACTTTTGAAAATTTGCATCAATAAATTTCAGGTATACCCTGCGTTAATCAAATAGAATTCGTCGAACAACGGCGGCGAGTAATTATGTTCGCTGCCGAGAAGTACTTCTCAGGGCAAACATTATTTCAGATCCATATATGTCAATTAATACATGAAAGTTGAATGCAGTCAATGTTATCGGGTGAAATAACGATTACACAGTGGCTGGGGCTATCATTTATCGGTCCCGTTTCCTTCAACAGTCCCTCTGCACATTTCATTCATGATCTCCGGAGTTTATAACGGGATTTTCCAGACCGGAAGGAGGTGAAAAATCCCAATGCTGAGATGTATTACACTAGTTCACCCTTGGCCAATGAAAAGGTCAATGATGTTGGACCAATAAAATGGAAAGGATAGATTTTAATGACTCCCTGGAATGATGCCAGAGTTATCGCGATACGTGCCAACCCGTGACACAGGAGAAATTCCCAGAAACTCGTCAGTTAATAAAATATACATATTTGCCACGTGGAGTTGCGGCAATTGTTATCTTTTGTATTGTACAAAAGAAAAATATTATAATTTTTGCAGTAGAACTATTTCAATTGTATTCTCTCGGGCATTGCTTCTTTTATCAAAAAATGAATAAGCAACGATTCTTATCCGTAAGAATAGTTGATTGCATTTTTTGGATGAAGAAGTAGGAATCGATATTTTGTAAATTATTCGTTCGTGGAGGATAACTCACGACACGAGAAAAACCATGACAGATCTCTTGTCCCTTCCCTTGTCACTTTTTTCCTTTCTCTATCGCTCTCTCTTTGGCTGTCTCACTCGCTCTTTTAGATTCGATTTCGTAAATGCCGACATGTACTATCTCGCTCTTGCGCCCCTAACAATCCAGAATTCCACACGAAAGAGCGTGAAAAAAGGAAGAAGGGAGGGAAATCACCTTCAACGGAGTCTCTTTCGCGGGTCAACCTCAGGAGCGCGTACAGAAAAAAACTTGGAACCGTCCCGGTGTGGTGAGAAAGATGTGGGGAAACCCCGGAGAAAGAGAACTGAATGTGAACGAAGGGACCCGGGGTAACAGAGAAAGAACTGAAAAAAAAGATGAATTTAGCGCCCTCCCAACCGTTTTTCAGAGCACTTGTTCCCCTTTTTCGTATTCTTTATTTTATGTCTTCATGTGCTCCTGGGGACGACGAAAATTGAAGAAGCTTACCGTTGAAGCGTACTTCACTTTTTTTTTTAGTCATTAAGAAAACTGGTGAATTATCTATCGAGGCGTGACTAGTTAGGCAAACCTAATGAATGAATGGGTATATCTCCACGCGCGGAGTGAACACTTCAATTATTCAATTACTTCGGTAGAAATAAATCAATTAAATTTTTTATAAACCGATAATAGGGGATTAAGTAGGACAATTTCCGCAGGCTGGTGTCCTCAATAATTCAGTCTTATTATACACAAAAACCCTTGAAATTAGCTTTCCATTTTCTAATTACTGCACTCTCCTTGGAAAGATCTGACATGCACGCAAACTTGGTTAATTTCACGTAGAACACGTGCATTACTGCGGTAATAAGGTGAACAGATTATAGAGTCTAGACGACGAGACTAGGGCTGAGGGTATGTAGGTGATACAAAAACGGATTAGCCTCGCGAGCCCGTAAATGAGAAACTACGAAGAAGCGTTCCCCGTACACATTACCTGATTAATTTATTTCAATAAAGTTGAAAGATGCATACCACCGCGACACAACAACAATCAGACCCGGATCCTTCAAAAATAAAGATAATAATAATGAAATGACTTCATCTACTTTTTTTTCTCCCATCAAAATCACTTGAGAGGTCAAACAGTAAATATTTCTGGCTATTTATCCACCGTCTCGATCTTCCAGGCGGCGATTATTTTTCACCGAAAATAAATAGTGTTGATTGCAGTGAGGTTTTCGAATCCCCCGGACATTACACTTCAACTTTGTTATCTCAAAAAGCATTAATATCATTTCGGTGCAATTCTTGGAAATTATTTTCAAAATTTAAAATCAAAACTACATAATTTTCAGTGGATGGCGAGCACGTAAAAAGATGAACTCGATTTTATATATAAAAATCAGACTTTAATTATATTACTTTTAAAAATAATATGAAAAATATAGCACATATATATTCTTTGGATTTTCTCAAATTTTGTTGAAAAGAGCAGCAAGTATTAGTACGCCTTGGTTAATAAAATTTAATGAAATCCTAACTAAATATTTGAAGTGGTTTATTTTGGGATGTAAGCGAAATTTTTTGACCGTCGGTGGGAAAAATGAAAAGTGACAATTTTTGGGGGTTTTGGTTTTTAAGTAAAAAGGTGATTGAGCGTACGATGGCGTAAGAAGTTGTAAGAGCGCGCGAATAGTAGAATCGATTTGTGTGCCGGCGTCACAACCCACGCGGCCCACTAAAAAGCCGGTCGAGTCTTTTGTTCACTGGGCGTATCACTCCCCCCTCCCTACACACACACACACACACCGGCTTCTATGAAAATCGATATGTAATGTGATCGCGAATTGATGCCTCCGAAAAATCCTTTCGTTCTCACAGTCATCCACTAGCACTTGCACAATATTACCACCAAGAGAGAATAAAATGCGCTATTGGAATAAACTGTATGAACCACTGTGCTACGAAAATTGCACAAAACGATGCAACAGCCACGCGAGCGACACTTTTTTGTTCCGCCAGAACGCTAAAGACTGTAAATACACATGAGCTGATGATTCCCAGAAATTCACGGGAAAAGCGAGAAGAGAAGAGAGAAAAAAGAAAACAAATGCCGGTATTACAAACCTGTGTTCGTTGTTGAAGTAATCCAAGATGGGTAAAAAAAGTCAATGACGGAGACGCACTGTTATATTGATCACTTAAACAATCTCCGGTATTTTCGAACAATCAGATGACAATGCTTGAATTCTCTGAGCAGTGGTTAATTAACGGAAATAATGAAAATTAATTAAACACCTGGAGTATTTATTTCTTCGAAATGAGTTCGTCTCACAAAAAAAAAGCAAACACCCGAACTATTGTGGTGAGGGTATTTGAAAGACAACGCAAATAAAAAAAAAAGAAAAACAAATCCTCAGTAGATTTGAGGAGAATATTGATGTTTTACGCGCAATCGACACTGGCGCGAATTCTTGGTGGTTGTGTACCCGAGTTTAAATTGGTCGTTGAAAAATCATCACAAAACACTAGACAACAGTTCCTGAGATTGGCCAAACCCAGAGTCATGTGCATTATCATAAATGATAGTCGCTATGATAAATGGCAGCGTAGTGATACTAAACCAATATTTCGTTAACTTTATTGGGTAATTGTGGAAAATAACTGGATACACTAGCACGATGTACGCGGGAAAAGCCGTTCTCGACTGGAGAGCCGGTTAGAGGCGACTGAACGTTGAGGCCACGCCGTTTCCATCTTCCCGTATCATATCCCACCCCCTGGCGCCAGGAGCGTCACCAACTCTCAGTGCGCCCTCTACTCACCCTCCCTCCCTCTCTCTCGCTCTCGGGCGCCAAAAAATCACCAAAATCTAGAAATCCAACTACTAAAATAGGATTATTTTGAAACACAAATATGCTATTGAAATCTTATAATCAAGTCATATCTCATGCCTAGTAATTTATTTACAGTCAAATTCAAAATAGATTGATTTTAAAAATTGCACTTTACAGAAAAATTTCCCATAATCTTTAGATTTCGAGAATATCAGAGTAATTGACGGTGAAATAATTCTCATTAATTATATGAAAATATTAGATACGATTTTTTTTATTTAAGCATATCAATGATAATCGCTTTTTAGTTGAATTCAAGAATTTGAAGAATTAACTATAACGATTGACATAAAATGACCACAGGAAATTTCGTAACTTGTCGGAATGATCGTTTGAATGAGAATATATCCCAATATATACCAATATATACCAATAAATATCCAGTAAATATCTTTAATTACGTTTGAAGTTTATTTCCAGGGAAGAATTTAAAAATATATAATTAAAAAAAATTTGGTTGCGATAACACAATCTAGCACAAGTTATTTTTCAAAATTCTTTGATTATCTCGATACGTGGCAAGGTAATCAATTGACTTATCACTTTTATATTTGATATATTGTACCATAGATATAATGATGATCACTAGCACAGAGAAATGACAAGGGAAGTTAACGAATAGCCCTTGACATACTGAGTTACACAATCTCATTCATTACACGGAAAAGAGACGCGACGTCGTAGCAGCACGTCCGTTGTTTAAAGAGAGCATTAAAACCGATATAATAATGAGAATAGACATTCACAATTGAAAAATACCTAAACATTTCAACATCTCGCAGACACAAATTAATGTTACAAAACAATTACTGGTTAATGCGTGGAGACAAATTTTACGCGCCGTTTGAATTCACGAAAAATTCAATGAAGATTAATACTCAAATTTCATGTTTTCAATAATTGCTTTTTTGCAATTATTTAAAATTTCAAATTGCAATATTTACCTTTTTTTATCTCAAAATAATTTAAAAAATAACGATAAAAATTCACAATAATTCACATTCTCCACAATCATACCTTAAAACCTATCAATATCCATTATTATTTTTTTAAACCTACTATAAATACACCGGGTGTGTTTCGCAAATTTATAAAAGCCCTCAAAAAAAAAACTCAACGCATGCGCTCTATAATTATCCGTTTATTCAATGAGATAGTTTTAATTAATAGTCGTAATGCATGAAGAAATTTGGCGATAATGTAAAGAATAATCTATTTTTTTGGATGGTGAGGGGTGCGCAGTGTTGTAATGCCGGTGTTGATGGTACCGCGTGAGAAGCCGCCGCGCCCATATGTGCTAACATAATGTAACATTAATCAGAAAATTAAAGTCATCTCTCGTGTAAAATGCAATATAAAATCAATCACTGTAATAAACTACGGGTGTTTATGAAAGAATTAACAGTTGTCGTGGTGTACTTCGAGAGATATTTTTCTGAATGAAAATGGCGGGGCACTACTTGTGAACGCGGCGTGCGCAACTCGGTCGCAATAGACGAGGAATTAAAATGGCTAGAGAATTGATAGTGGGGGTAGGCCAACCAACCGCGTTCTTACACCAAAGTACTTCAACTGTCCACTGTCTTCCCGCTCTTCCTACTGCGCCTCAACAAGTTTTATTTTGCTCGCCACTCACCTCCAAACCCTTGGAACCACTTAGCACACCCTCAACACCAAATTCACAAGCAAGCCAAGGGCGGTGGCTTTATCCACCATTTTTCAACACCATCTAAATTCCGCCAAATTCACCAATCAATTCTCCTGGGCCAACAGACAAAAAGGAACTTGTTTTTTTCCAAATCTTGTTCAGTACCTAAGGAATCAATTGTGTTAGATGATTTCCCACAATCGTATTTGTTGTGGGTAATCCGATTATTTAATTGAAAATCGATCACTTTTTTCTGAATAGACAATTTTTGGCATTTTCAAGTTTGAACCTCTATAACTCGACGGATTTTCCGTGTGGCAGGCCATGCTACCTCCAATATCTAGTAGTTTCAATAGTGGCAAAGTAATCCTTTTTCATTCAAACGTACTATGACTCAGTGACACACTTCTGTTTCAGCTGAATGTTATCAGGTTCCTTCGGCGTATTAGTCATAGATATTGAATTAAAAAATCTACTCCTCTATGAAGAATCCCTCGCGCGATTATTTGCATTCTCGTGAGTTTTCTCATGTCACTGACGTCATTGAAGCGAAAAAATATCGTTAATGTTATCAGGGATCGTTTTTCGACATTTTGCATAGATCCCACTGTTGCCTGAAAAGATTGGCCGGAAAAAAGCATAAAATTTACGATAGAGACGCTTCTCGACAGATTGAACATGACTGGTGCCGAACACACGGGCCCCGCATTCGTTGCGAAAAAAGGAAGCAAAGTCAGAAGCCAGTGTGAAACCCGATAGCAATGAAAAATGATCCACTTTTTGGGGCTAACCAGGAGTGTTACGAGGTTTAAAACATAACTGAAAAACGACCAGTAGGAAATAATAAAAAGAAGATGTTGCCCGTTTACTTTGTCGCCAGCCTATACGATTTTTTTTACCCAATTTCATTATAATCCCAGTTCTTCCTAGCTGGAAAGCATCTCATAGTACGGGAAATGTATAAGTGAGCATTTTTCGCCTTTTTTCATGCTATTGTGTAATGGAATTAATCTTCCGTGGCTAGACGGTAATCCCATGGATAATTAAATTTGCGGAGAAGATGAAGGAAACAGGGTGGCAAAATGGGGATGATATAAATTCCTTGGCAATGATCTTCACGGCAACCACAACTTCAGTGCAAATTCTACCGTTGGGATTTATCATAGGGAAGTTGCGGTGAAGATGATGAAACAATTGGGTGAGCACAACATGGACCTCTTAAATTTGTCGTACTCTGTGTAAATCAGTCAATATGAAAGAAATAATTGAAGCTAATGACAATCGAATGTTCGAGATAATTTGCTGTTCGACAATTCACATGTGAAATACCTCCAACCAACATTGTACAAAAGTTGGGAAAGTGACTCTTTTTTTCTACGTTGTGCACCCTAAGCAGTGTCGATGAGTATGAAGTGTGTCGTTGGTCAGTTTCGTAGATTTGGGATCCTCCTCTTCAGTGTATCCCTTCGTTGAAGCATGTCTGGGTGTTGGCCGAATGATGCTTTAAACTTTAAATGGCCCCGTGACAGAAAATCCCCTCAGGATAGTATCTCTCATCTTCACCGCAGGAAGAACTATAGTTATCTGACAGAATACATCAAGTTGCGATGGACTGGCGATGGACTGGCGATGAAGGTGGTACAAAAATATGGAGAAATGAGATGGAGAAGCAGGAACTCGAGTGAGAAATGCTGATTGTCGACTTTAGCCTGATGGATTATTCCTCGCAGATCGTTGACAGCAGCCGTACCGACATTCCTCAGATGAACAAGTTGGTGTGTCCATTCTGCTCTTTCCTAACCGAAAACTCCTCACGCCCAATGTCAATCGCGGATACCTCCAACGTCTTATTTTATGCTCGAAGAAAAAATAGATGAGGCAAAAAATAAATTCGACAGACACAAATGACAAATGCCATCGCTTCAGGTATCAGAAACGTAGCATCTGATTAGGCGTTAAATCCATTGGAATGCCAACAACGTGAATAAAACGGTATAGAGTGGTGGAGGGATTGACGTTCCTGCAAACTTGGTTGATAGTAATCACAGACGTGCACACCTCTGGAGTGACGTTTTGCTCAACAACTTGCACTCTACCCCACATGTTGGTATGCCACACAAGTATATGCACATACTTCAGACGCGACTAATGATTATTTTCAGGAAAGAATGGCCTCTGCTGTTTCATGGAAATGAAAATTTTCCAGTCATTCACAAATAGCATCAGAGATTCAAAGGTAAAATTTATTTTTAATGTCCTGAATTTTAAAATTAAGAGGAAATTTAAAATTACAATAAAAAATCGTACTGATCAGTGCAAAAAGATTTGTATGAGACGCTCGTTGGGTCATTTTTTCGAAGTAATGCAGCTTTCTGGTACATATGGCAGGCATACTGTGTGTGCATAATCTAGTCGAGAATGACCGAGGTCACCCCACGTCTGTGAACTTATACTGCTCAACGTCATTATACGGAGATTCACGTTTTTCAAGGACTATGTGTAGTTGTCCCCCACTGCGATTCCATCTCTCCAAAGAGTCAACTTACTTTTTCAAATTTACCATAACAGTACACAGAAAAACAAACCGATATTTGCAATTTCAAATATCGAATTGGGAATAAGTCAATTTATTTCAAAATATTTCAGTCCTTTCAGGTACCAATAGATCGAATTTTGGATTTATAATATTAAATTTTCGCTTGATTTTTCAAAGCGTTACACTTGTCTCAAGTTTTCGTAACAAGTTGGACGCAACCTTTTGAAGTAATTTTTCAAAATCAATCAACAACAAACGAACGTTTTCAGCAATGACGCTTGTGCTGTGGATGAAAATAATAAAACAGCGTATTTCCGGTGCGACTTTACGTCTGGGGAAAAATATTCTTGCGAACTTTTCCCTCATGTTCAAAAGTTCTTTTAAACCATTCCGGAATGCATGGATATTGTGACGGTGAAAAGGTCAACCCCAATAAATCAAGTCTTCTACTTAGGTAGATTAGCAGTAGGTACCCACCTTCTCGCACCTTTGTCAGAATATTCCTATCCATGCCACATGACTCCTCAACCTCCTCAGGTATAAGTACGTAATTTTCAAAAGACGAAGATAGGTCGAAGTCGGAGGAGAACTAGTCAACGAATTATAATACATAAGGGACAACAGGTGATTTTC